CCTGTGTCGTTGTATGATGTCGCTAAGCGTTTGCAATGTGTGGATCCACATAAAGCTACCGGAAGTGATGGAATCCCAGATATTGTGTTGAAACGTTGCTCGGACACCCTCTCCCCATACCTGATGAAGATCGTCAACGTATCCCCTACGTCTGGTATAGTGCCATCAACTTTCAAACATTCTCTTATCAGCCCATTGTATAAGAGTGGCGACCCACTGTAAGCTCGTAACTATCGGCCCGTCTCGCTATTGCCTATTGTTTCTCGCATACTGGAACACTTTGTCAAGAAACAGCTGACAACTTTCCTAGATGATCGCTCCTTGTTACCTTCAAGTCAATTTGCATACCGAAGAAATCACTCAACAAAAGATGCTCTTATCCTTGCCTCCAACCGCTGGAAATTGGCCAAATCGGAACGAAAACACACCGGGGTAGTAATGGTAGATCTATCGAAGGCATTTGATAGAGTTCAGCATGCCAGGCTTGTGCAAGTGCTGTTTGACCTTGGCATTTGTGACACACCACTGGAATGGTTCCTCAGTTATCTCTCGGAGCGGCAGCAGTGTGAACGGGTGGAACACTCAGTTTCGCAATATGTTGGATGCTCCCGAGGAGTGCCTCAAGGCAGCGTTCTGGGCCCTCTTCTTTTTGTACTGTACACCAGTGATATGTCGTCAGTTCTGCCAGGTAGTGGATGCCACCAGGAATTCACTGACGATGTGGCTCTGGACTACTCCGACTATCAGCCTGATTTAGTGTGCTCTGTTCTCTCTAACGCTGTAACACGACTCGCTGAGTACTTGGACAACATTGGTCTGCTATTAAATGCCAGTAAAACCCAAGTTATGTTTGTGAGACCCGTGGGTGTCTGGATGGACCATCTGAAGTGAAGTGTGGTACCACAGTGCTTGATGTTACTCCAGTCACGAAGTATCTCGGTGTCATGCTTGATGACCAACTGTCCTGGAAGCCCCAAGTGGACTTTATGGCCAGCAAGACAGCTACTACAATCGGGCAGCTCTGGCGCCATGGACGGTGCCTTTCACTCAATGCCCGCCGGGCCTGGTACATTAGTATGATCCAGTCTGTTCTCTGCTATGCCTCAAACTGTTTCTTTCCCGCTCTATCCAACCTGCTGCTATATCGACTGATACGCATTGCTAAGTCTGGCATACGAGCCATCTTCCAACTTCCCAGAAGGACCCCCACTGCTCCCCTATTTGTCAGACTATCAATGCCTCAGCTCCACCAGTTGTACGTGCAACGTCTGCTTCTCTTCGTCTTCCGCTGTCTTCATGGCAGAGCCAGCTCACTGTTCCAATCCTACTACTCCCTCATTGCCTCGGATGTGGACAGAAGTTGTGTCACGCGTGGTCAGGTGAGCCAGCTGCTCAGAGTGCCGTTCCTACCTGGTCCCTCAGGCCGTAGCTCTATCGCCTTTGTTGGCAGTACCACATGGAACTCTCTCCCTGCTGATATTCGCGCTTCCGACGTACGCCACACGTTTCAAGCATTGCTGCCTGGCTATGACCTTATCTCCCTCCTCAACTAGCTCTCCGATGTTGTGCCTACTATGTCTTCTTCACAGATTCTGCCTGAACAGATGCTCATCAATTATGTTCTTGTCCTCTATCCTAGTCCAAATCCTGCCTCGCCCATGCATGACTCTCATGAAATGCCCGTACTAAATAGTCTATAGAACAAGAATATTTGATATCATACTTCTCTCATCAACTATGATAATGTAGCGTCTCTGACGTTCTCGCATCATGATATCATCATTTGTTTGCATGTACACGTCATATTTTCCTCATCATCACAAACACTGATTCACCATACTCTCGCACACATTGTAATACCTACTACACGTACTTCGCTACCATAATAATTACGTAATGTTTGGCTAGCATAGTTCCAATACACATTACGACATCTTTTGATGTTACGCACTCCTCGCCTACAACGCTATTATAGAAAAGTAGTCTTTACTCATCTCTTGTAAGTTCTGTTTGCATCCAAACACTTCTTCCAAACAGCACACGTCAGATATCTAACAAAACAACAAACTTCATTGCACAGTCTTCTATCACAATCTCTTTCCTATATAAACCTCCTTTCTCTTCACTTTCTTCATGACATTTAGTGTTCGCCAGTCTTGTAAAGATCTTGGAAACTAACACTCGTTGCACTGTATCTAGACTACTAAAATAATACCCATTTCATACCCCTCCCCTTCATAAAATTAATAACTACTGTTTTCTTTCCTTTCCTTTCATCTTGTTTTCGGTTCCTTTCTTCTTCATACACATTTTAAACATTTTCATCATATTGTGAGAGCCGTGGGCCAATAGCCCCGGTGAGAAGGCAGTCTTGCCTGTTCATATGGTGAAGTAAAATAAAGAAACAACAACAAGAATCTAACAATAATTATGTACATGACATGTACAGTAAAACCTGTGACTAACGACCACCCCTTGGGGCCAGAGAAAGCGGTCTTTAGTGGCAGTTGGTCTTTAGTGGCAGTTGGTCCTTAGAGGTTTCCACCGCCCAACCATGTATGAATGTGAGGCCTACCGTGCCTGGCGAAGTGGTCTTTAGTACCAGGCTGGTCGCTAGTCACGGTGGTCTTTAGTTACAGGTTTAACTGTACATGCATGTACATGTAAGTTCATGCATGTACATGTACATGTACATGCATGAACTTACATGTACATGCATGTACATGTAAGTTCATGCATGTACATGTACATGTACATATACATGACTGTAAATTGTACAGTGTACATGCACTCCTTAAAAATCATTTTTTAGTCCAGGGAGGATCGATCACCATGGAACATCAAATCCGCCATTGATCGCCTTCTCAACTTGCCCACCCACATTCCCTAAAACAAAAGATCCACCTTCCTCTACGCAATTTACAGATGATTTGGTGGTTTCCGTAGAATGAATACAGTGATGGGGTATTATGTACATGTACATGTAGTTCCAATGATGACTCCCCCCGCCCCCCCCCCCCCTTCTCTCTCAGGCGGCGGCAAATATGCTGTGATAACCAAGCACTCCTGCATACATGTACATTCTTTCGCTATCCTGCACTGTCTACCTGATCTTTCACATCCTCTGCGGATGAAGGCCAATGAGCTGTGCAAACGCTGACAACAGAATCGTTTATTGCCTCGACCGCCTGCTTTTTAAATACTGATCCACCGGTGAAGGCGCGGTGTCAAGGCTTTGCCTTTGTAAGCAATTTTGTAATTCTGGCCTGCCTGGCGAATAACTGTATGCAAAAAACGCACGTAATGTCCGCACATCCTGTGCTGCGCAGGTTCCCTGTACTGGCTGTAGCTTTGTACCGTTCACAGAAGTGTTGAAAAGGACTGGAGGCTCTGTGAGGGTGACCAGTGGTGACGCTCACAGCTTGGGTCTATCCATTTGGGTCTATCCATTTACAATGGCACCATGTTGCGCCTTGTCCATATCAGTTTCAAGCCTGAAATGTGTATTACCGGAAGGTGTCTGCTAGGATTGTTGGATTATAAATATGTCCTGGTCCCCACAGGTCCAGTCAGTACTATGCAAGCGAGCTAGCTCCTCCCTTGGCATGTTGCAACCTCACTGCCACCATTTAAATGACCATTGCCGAAAATTGTTCTTTACGTCGTATATTCTACCTACGGTATATTTGATTACTGTGACACAGCGTGGTGCGGTCTGTGTCAGGCCCTTGTTCAAACTCTGGAAATACACCAGCGTCTGCTTCTAAAAATCCTGTCTCGCAAAGATCAAACATTCTCCTCCCAACGTCTCTACAGTTTAGCTTCAGTATCTCCCCTCTTAGAGCGACACCAGCAACATCTTTGCATCCTTGTACACACGATCTTATTAGACCTGGCTCCCAAACACTTTGCTAAGTATAACTGGTTTGTGTCCACCAGATCAACACGTCATTCCTTCTCATTACCCCGTGCCAATACCTCCCTGTTTCTGAAGTCTCCTACCTTCTCTGCGTACACTATCTGGTCTTCCCTGCCAACTAGCCTTAAAGCATGCACAGACATTAAGGAGTTCAAGCTTCAGCTTCTTCGTCCTAAATAATCTCACCATTTTCGTCATGCCTCCCCTTGCAGTACTCTCTTTGTTTCTCTCCTTATTATTCAGTTCGCCGTGGTTGGCTACCACCCGACTTCTCATATATATTGGCAGTCTTCTGACGAGCCAGGAGATGTTAATTGCTCGCCATAGCGACCAGTTTACCTGCTAGTACATGTGCATGTAAGTCCTTGGCTGATTTGCATCCAGGGGGGGGGGGGGGGCGAATACATTGTATGACTATTATGTATGTATGTATGTATGTATAACTCATAATCACAAGGTGATCGTAGAGGCATTAATCAGCGAGAGAATTGTGAATGATGTCTCTGAATCCAACTCTATTGTGTGCTGCATGAGAGAGAGCATGCAAGGGAAGACCCGTCCAACTTTCAATGTTAGAAATCCATGATGTCGCGGGCCTTCCTCTCGGTCGAGATCCAAGAGTTGATCCTTGCAGGAAGGGCTTGGAGAAAACGTCATGTCTCGTAACATGGCCAAACCACTATACAATGTACATGTACTGATGTAGGTAAAGATGAGGACATGGTTATGGTCTTTACTTTTCAGGCCAGGTTAGTGTACAGTCACCTACCTGTGCCTATATATTTGGCATGGTGCATCCATATGTAATTTGACCCCGCTTCCTATTTCACACCTTCGCGTACGCACATGCACCAGCGGTAACTGTTGCGTGCCTGTGCTGTTTACATGCCTACTCTGTTCCCCGTGTTCTCGACTTCTCCTTCTGTCTTCATCAAGTATAGTTTGTAATTCCTACCGGAGTGTGATGGTTGTGTTGGACTGAGAGAGTGTGCATGGGCATTTACCCTTAGTGCTGTTGCAGTAACGCAACACTTGGTGTCAGAACTGGTACCCCGAACCCTCGCCACCGGACCCGCTCGCCATGGCGAAATTTCAGCCCCCTGAAAGCTTCGACTTTTCCGCACCTGAGAATTGGCCCCGCTGGAAAAGCCGATTCACACGCTTCCAGATTGCTACCAAACTCTCTTCCGAATCCGCAGATGTCCAAATCTCCACTCTCATCTACTCTCTGGGCCCAACTGCGGATGATATCTTCCAGCGTGAGTTGTCCTTCGCCCAAGATTCCGACAAGGACGACTTCGATAAAGTGGTCGATGCTTTCGACAAGTACTTTGCACCTGCGGACAATGTTATCCACGAACGGACGCAGTTCGCTCGTCTCCGCCAGCTCCCCGGTGAGTCCGTAGCCACGTTCTCAAGCCGACTCCACTCTGTCGCGGCGAGATGCCGTTTCGACAAGCCGTCAGAACGGATCCGCGATCACCTCGTCGCCCACATGGCTGATTCTGAAGTGAGTAAGGCAATGCAGAAAAAGGACATAGGCTCCCTCACCCTCGCCGATGTTCTCAAGGAGGCCAAGGCAGCTGAGACCCTCGAAATCCAGCTAGCCACTCAGCGCTCCGCAGCCACTCAGCCCTCCGTCGCTGCCGCTGTCGCTCGCGGACATCACAAACAATCTCGTGGAACTGGCAGACCGAAGAATGCTCCGGCTGCATCTCGCCAGTCCGCGCCTAGCTACTCGACACGTGGCCCTCCAGCAACCTCTGCTCCGCGCGCTCCCTGCTCCGGCTGTGGCTCATCTAGTGCAAGTAGTGGTCACTCGCGCCGCGAGTGTCCTGCTTGGTCCGTCGAGTGCCGTAAGTGCCAGCGTCGTGGTCACTTTGCCAAAGTGTGTCGTAGCTCTCGTCAAGTGGGCGCGAGCGAGATGTCTGACCATCCGGTGAGTGATTCTGCTAGTGCTAGTGCGAGTTGTTTTATGGGTAGTGCTTCATCCGAGTCACAGGAACCCAGTATCTGTGTTTTGAGTTCAGTATCCATTCCTGACTCAACTGAACCCTGGCTTGTTGAGCTCCCTATCAATGGCCAGTCAGTGTTGTTCAAGCTGGACTCTGGCGCAGACTGCACACTCCTGTCACTGCCGTCCTACAATAGCCTCAGTCCTCAACCTAAGCTCACGCCGATCTCCACTAAGGTCACTGGACCTGACGGCCAACCTCTACCCATACACGGCGCATTTGTTGCTGCCAGCTCCTGGAAGGACCGCAACGTCACTTTCCGTGTTATTGTTGTTGATGGCCCCAGCAACCTCCTGAGCCGCAGTGTGTGCCAGGACCTGAACCTCCTGTCTTGCGATGTATCCGAGGCATCCGCAAGCCCTCCGTCCGCTCCTCCTGTCATTGGTCGCATGTCCGGTCCTGCAGCTACCATCGAGCTGCAAGACAATGCCCAACCATATCACTGCCAGACCGCACGACGAGTTCCCATCCACCTGCAAGCCAAGGTCAAGACCGAACTTGACCGGATGGTCCAGATGGGAGTCATCTCTCCAGTCACCGATCCGACCGACTGGTGTGCGCCCATGGTGCCCGTGCTCAAGAAGAATGGCTCCGTCCGCATCTGCGTGGATCTCAAACGCCTGAACCAGTCCGTGAAGCGTTCACACTTCACTCTGCCGACCATCGAAGACACCCTGGGCAAGCTGTCCGGAGCCAAGGTCTTCTCGTCGCTTGACACGGCGTCTGGGTTCTGGCAAGTGCCACTTGCTGACGACAGTGCGTCACTCACTACGTTCATGACACCGTTTGGCCGGTTTCACTTCAACCGTCTACCCTTTGGTATCACCAGTGCGCCAGAGGTTTTCCAGCGTCGCCTACTGGAAATCGTTGGGCACATTCCCAACGTGGTCGTCTTCATGGATGACATCCTCGTGTTCGGTGCCACTCTAGCTGAGCACGATGCTGCCCTCACTGCTGTCCACGCAGCTCTCGCTTCTGCAGGCGTACTCCTCAACCCCGCCAAGAGTCGCCTCCGTATGAAGTCCCTGACGTTCCTGGGTCACCTCATCGGTGCTGACGGTGTCCGCCCAGACCCAGCCAAGGTGTCTGCCATCCAAGCTCTGAAGTCACCGACCAATGTGCCCGAGTTACGCCGTGCTATGGGTATGTTCACGTTTCTGTCGAAGTTTGTGCCAGATATGGCCAATGTCAGTGCCCCGCTCCGTGCTCTACTGAAGGCCGACACCGCCTGGCAGTGGGACACCCAGCAAGAAACTGCCTTCTGTCGCCTCAAGGAACTCGCTACTACTGCTCCCTGCTTGGCACTGTTCTCGCCCGACCAGCCCGTCCGTATTAGTGCTGATGCCAGTAGCTACGGACTGGGTGCTGTCCTCCTGCAGCCTGATGGCTCCCGCTGGCGCCCTGTTGCCTATGCGTCCCGCTCTCTATCACCTACTGAGCAGCGCTATGCCCAGATTGAGAAAGAGTGTCTCGCCATCGTTTGGGCATGCGAGCATTTCCACCACTACATCTACGGCGGTCCTCAGTTCACAGTCGAGACTGACCACAAGCCTCTCGTGCCTCTCATCAACTCCGCTGATCTCGCCCGCTCTCCTCTGCGATGCCAGAGACTCCTGATGCGGCTGATGAGGTACAACCCAACCGCTATCCACGTGCCTGGCAAATCACTCGTCATTGCCGACACCCTATCCCGTGCTCCGCAAGAGTCCTCGCCTACTAGTGATCTTGCTGATGAAGTACAGCTGCATGTGTCTGCCGTCACATCGCATTGCTCCACCGACCCGCTCTTGGTCGACATTCGGAACGCGACCAACGCTGATGCCGACATGTGTCGCCTCCGTGCCCTCATCCTCAACGGGTGGCCAGCCAAGCCCACCTCGGTCCCCGCTAGCCTCCGCCCGTACTTCGCTGTTCGCGATGAGCTCTCAACTGCTGATGGTCTCATATTCCGTGGCCAACGTGTCATCATCCCTGCATCCCAGCGCAACGCCACCCTTGCCAGTGCTCACGAGGGTCACCAAGGCGTTGGTAAGTGTCGTGCTCGTGCGCGTGCTGTGATGTGGTGGCCTGGTATGTCTACGGACATTGAGTCGTATGTGATGTCTTGTGCCACCTGTGCCAAGGCCCGTCCTAACCCAGCCGAGCCGCTCATCTCGTCCGAGTTCCCATCTCTTCCATGGTCAAAGATCGCGTGTGATCTGTGTGCAGCCAAAGGATCCACTTACCTAGTTGTTGTCGACTATTTCTCGCGCTACATCGAAGTCAAACAACTTACCACTACTACGTCTGCCGCTGTGATTGCCTGTCTCCACTCCGTGTTTTCTACCCATGGTATTCCACACACGCTAGTGTCTGATAACGGTCCACAATTTGCTAGTGCCAGCTTCCGTGCATTTGCTGCCGAGCTTGGGTTTGCCCATCGCACGTCAAGTCCTCGCTTCGCCCAAAGCAACGGCGCTGCAGAACGTGCCGTTCAGACAGCCAAGCAGCTCATCCTCAAGAATGATGACTTGCCTTCCGCTCTCTTGGCCTACCGGTCTACGCCATTGGCCAACGGTTATTCACCGTCACAGCTGTTGTTCGGCCGCCAAATCCGCTCCCGGCTACCAGGACCCCTCCCTGCTCCAGCGTGGCCTGATTTGACCGCCCTTGCCTACAAGGAAGCATCTTCCAGGTCTCGGCAGGCTGATCGCTACAATCAACGCCACCGTGCTCGACTGCTGCCTGTTCTCGCCCCTGGTGCTCCTGTGTATGTCCCCGATATGGACAAAACAGGACACGTCCAGAACCGCCTGTCCGAACGCTCTTACACGATCGACCTCACTCCTGGGTCATCTGTCCGCCGAAATCGTCGCCACATGCGTGCGTTGCCATCGACGCCATCCGCGTCAGCCAAACGCCCTGTTCCCTCCAGCTCATCCTCCTCCATTGAGCCCATGTACGAGGTTGACTACGGTGTTCCTGCTCCCGTCCGTGTTGCCCTGCAACCACCAGCTAACTCTACTCTGCCGCCTCTTCTGCCTGTGCCGCAGTCTCCTCGAGTTGCTAAGCCTCTGCCACCCGGTCGCAGACCACCATCCAGCCGTGTTCGCCATGCGCCGCAACGCTATGCTGCCAATACCTGAACACAGTAACACTGTTTACTCCATGTGTTCCAGTTGAACTATGACTGTGTTCCTTTCATGTTTTTTTCTCTCTATCATTCTGAGTAATGCTCACGTTGGTACCCGCTCCAGAACTGCTATCGCTCCTTTTCCTCTCTCCTTTGCTCCACACTTTCTCGTGTCCCTCCGTTCGCATTTTTTTCGGGGGGGAGATGTACAGTCACCTACCTGTGCCTATATATTTGGCATGGTGCATCCATATGTAATTTGACCCCGCTTCCTATTTCACACCTTCGCGTACGCACATGCACCAGCGGTAACTGTTGCGTGCCTGTGCTGTTTACATGCCTACTCTGTTCCCCGTGTTCTCGACTTCTCCTTCTGTCTTCATCAAGTATAGTTTGTAATTCCTACCGGAGTGTGATGGTTGTGTTGGACTGAGAGAGTGTGCATGGGCATTTACCCTTAGTGCTGTTGCAGTAACGCAACAGTTAGGAGAACAGTATTATTGAAGTAAGTTGTAAGGCTTTCCACAACAGGTCTGTTGTTAAAACACAGAGGATCGGACCAGTGAAAGGAAAGCCTTTCATGCAACATCAAGCCAAGAAATCAATGCCTTTGGTCTACTACCAGTATTAGTATTAGTGTTACTGCTTCAAGTACATTTACTCGGTGATCTAGCATACAAGGTCGAACCTACATATGACAATTGTACCGAACCTACATGTACATACATACAGTACATAGTGTAGAAATTCACAATTCCTAAAAATTGTAACGGTTTGCCGTCTTGTGTTCACTTCCTGTCCCATCATTTCGTGTGAAAGTGAAAGGAACTACTACGTCTTGCTCGTAGAATGTCATTCATGGTTATTATTTTGACTCTGACCCTGAATTACAGCGCTGGTATTAAACCCTGCGCTCGTACTCAGTCATACATGTACTTCCATGCCTTATATCATTACTCAGACACGGGGAGGAAGTGAAGTGTGCAAATAAGTTTAGAAATGAATGTCCCCAAACTGATCACCACGATTTGTTACATTCTGTTCAAGTGTCTTGAACTGTCCCAATGTCACATACTTTTTATGAACGTCGGAAAACATGTTCCCACAGGCAGTGGATCTACATGTACGTATGTACGCGCAGAGCATAGGGGATCGATGACACAACGTATCCAGTCCACGGAGCATCGCAACAACCGGGCAGTTGCTTGTGGTCCGCCGGCTAGCGCTCATTCGTCTGCCGGAAAAGATCCATTACGGCACCCACACGCGCCACTGCTGTAGTACCACTACTGCAACGAAGACTAAACAGTATAAAAAGTAAAACAGTCTAAACTAAAAATAGGAACTGTACTGTAGATGTACCACATGACTGTAGCCTTGTAGGAGATCAGCTGACGCAGTCGCTGAACACCACGGTAGATCTACGAGCTATCATTCAATGCCAGAGCCGGCAGAGGCAGAACTGCCGAATGCTGAGTGACTTCACACGCTTCGCAAGTGGTTGAGGTGTGTCGACTCTACTGGCTTAGTACTGCCTGTACTGGCTGTAGGATCTAGGCCAAGGAGCGAGAAGTGGAAACAGCTGACAGGACCAATAGGCAATACAAGCCCTGGCCTTCTGCACACGTACACGGTGTGTTACTTTTAGTATGATTATGATTGTCACGAATGATAGTAGTGACAAAATAATAGTACTGAGCTGCATCGGCGCGCCTGGTTCGTGACCGAGCAACACCACAACAAGTAGCCCTGCGTGAGAAACATAATGCTTTGTGAAGTCCTGGATCTGTGCACCAGTGACAGCGACGAGCTGCGGACGACTGTGTTGTGTGCTTGTGATAAGCAGCCACGTAGATCTACGTAGAGCCCCTCTCAGAAACCAGGTTTTTGGCACGTGCGCACCTGGTCCGTGACCGAGACGGCAAGAGATAATGTTACTGGGCCTGTAAAGCTACATCCGTCATCACTACAGCACTCACTACAGCAGGATAGGTGCAAGGGATCCGGGGAGGAAAGACGTGAGAAGGCTAGCGCCAGCAGCGGTGCTTATCCTTATCTCACCTCCTGTTTGGTAGTGTTGGGCGCACAAACACCTTCCACGCCAGTCATCCTGGAACTTCGCCGCTGTTGGCTGCTCTCTTCTGCAAGGGAACAGTTTCCTGTTCGAGAGGACGAATAGATCTACCTCGGAGCGGGTTTGAGTTGTGTTCACTCGCGGCTTGCCCAGTCACAGGCGCGTAGCTGAAGCCTTTTACCGGCTTTGCGATATGGCCGGTTTCTCGACGAGCAGTTCTCGCGCCGGTTTCTATTCCCTCAACACCTTACAGAAGTAAAGCCGTACGCCCAGACTACCGTTGGGGCATTGGAATGCGACAACAAGCTAGTGAACTGGTAGCCTGCACGCATAGTGCTTCCCCAATTTGACGACTCCTCGCGTGTCCGGAATCAGCTCCAGAAGGTAAGCACTTCACGGTGGCGACTTCCGTCCGCTCTATTTTTCCCTGATATAATTATTATGATGGAACACTCTTGATCTTGGGCCTTTGCATTTGGATTCGTTCAGAATTTGAAGTCTCGGTAACGCTATGTAGAATGCGTGGTCTCGGTCCACAGGAGGAAAAAATGGTTTCATGGTTTCGCTTACTGATAGGTAGTAGCTACTTTTTGTTAGAGGATTTTTTGGTGTTGTACTTGGCGACTTCAGAGGACATCTGCTTTGTTTTGTTTCGGAAGATCATAAGAGCCCAGGTGCGCATTATGAGTAGGACTTGTTTGTTTTATGAGCTCCAGATCCAGCACTGCTCAGATGCATAAAGGCTCTCCCGAAGTCTCACCATGGGCTAGTCATGGTGTTTTTTCATTCCGTGAGGTTGAGGGCGACAACTACCAGCGCAGATTACTGTTCCTCTCACGCAGTCTTGAACCGTTCCGCAGCAACCCTCTCAATCCTAAACTGCGCACCAACATTACCCTACGCGCTGGAAGAAGCTTGGTCGGTTTTGGGCTCTGCGTCCCGTATCACGTGGCCTAAACAAGCGTGGCCTGATCAACTGGAACAACGACGTGCTCTAAATGCTAGTGTTGGTCCATACATTGTCGATCTCACATTTGCCTCTGCCTTTGCCTTTGGCATGGTGGCTGAACGACGTGCTACCCATGCCATGGATTCGCACATGGCTTTGTAGTAAAGTAGTCGAGGGTTTCTCGACTTTCTCCCAAGACTAGGCAAGAGGTGTCGCTTGGTCGGGCATGTCTTTTCATCCAACACTACTGTCCTTGTGTTCATTTTGCTTCTTATAAGTGCAGAAAGACGCACCGGTAAAAGTAAAACCTCAATTGTTGAGATTGACAAGCCCAGTCTAGCATCGTAGAAGCCTGCTCATGCAGTTGCCACTGAGGTTCCAACAAGGAAACAAAAGGCCAGCCTTGCGTTGTTGATCCACCATGACGTAAAACAGTGGAAAGTTGTCAGTAGGGCTCTGCAACATAAATCCCATCCGTGACAGGCGCACCTCTGCCATCAAGTCCAGTGTCTGTGAAGCATTGAAAGAAAATGCTACTTGCTAGTGCTCATGTAAACTACTTTCTAATCTTTCATCTATTCTAGGGTCTATGGCAAGGCCTGTTGAGTGGTGTACCTTGAGGCAGTTCCTCAGCTGAAAAGACATCATGCCTTCATGGTTGTATTGTACATCCATTGTCATTAATTGTGATTTTCACACATGAAGCAGATGCATTGTTGTACATATTCTGAACTGCACCAGGAAGACCAACCAACCAACCAACAATGCCTATGTTCTTGGTCTGGTCTTCCAAAAATAATAATTAGATTTGAGTACTTGAACCCAAGAGGGGCAAGAGGTGTGACAGTTCTTTGTGTGTTGAGCTGGAGTGGCAGAGCAGAGTAAACAATCAGACTCCTTGTGGTAATCAGGGACAGAAAGGAGTGGGCCATCTGATGGCCAGTGTGTAAATGAATAAATATTATTGATGATTGATTCGCTCCTGTACTCTGTGTGTTACCAAAATACTGCATCATGTACATGATTGTGTATCATTTTATTATGTGTTGGTGCCACTGGCCTGGAGGGTGTTCTATTTCAGTATTTGCCTGAGAAATCTTTCAAAGGTTTGTACCTACACCATTGATGGGTCCAGGGTAGGGATAAGCCATGCACTGTCTGTATGTCAGCGATTGGCAAGTAGGGAAGAAAATCTACATGATGTAAGGCCATGTCAGTATTTCAAAGTACAATGGTCATGGGGCTATTGAAAAGAGCAGACAATGAGGAAAGCATTCCAAGCTTGGACCCAGTGTGGGTATCATGACAAGGAACATGGTGGTCTCTTGACCAAAAATCACCATCACCACCTCCACAGGCTGTAATGCGCTGCTATTCAATATACATGTACATATACAGGTGGAATTCTGATAATTCGAATATTATGGCTGAACATTTCTGATAATTCGAACCTCGAACTGGATATGTCCGGTTAATTAGAAGTCCCACAGATTCCACTTACGTAGAAAATGTGTGGGATTTGTGCTGATAATTCGAAGTTAGCAAAGTGTAATTCGAAGTTCACTGTACATTGTACTGGTCAGTTCAGTTTGCATGGCCAGGCTGCGCCGGTCAGTTCAGCATCCGTGAAGTCTGTGTCTAAGGTCCATTCCGCAGCTCTGCGTGACCATGAGAGCATTTTGACATACATATTGTGTTGTCGGTTCATGTTTGGATAATTGGAATGTCTGGATAATTATAAGTTTTTTCCTGGCATTTTGAGGTTCGAATTAACAGGATTCCACATGTATCTCCAATTTTTCACCCTTGAGGCATCATCAGGTAGTGCTTACTCCCTGAAGTATGTATAGGGAGTATACACCAGCACCTGATGAAGCCCAAGGGACGAAAATTAGGAGATAATGATTGTTGAATTCCAGTGGAAGACCTTGATGGTGGTGGTGGTGATTTTGGAAATATTATAATGTATTACAAGTCTTGTGATTTGCCCTGCCTTGATACTTCCAACTGCATGATTGTATTGGTGATAGACAGTTGTCTAAAGTCCTCAGGCTGCGTACAGTGCTCTATGTCCAGTGGACAGAGCTAGTAATGAGTGTTTCACAGGAAACTCTGAGTAACGGCGGGGAAGAACTTGGTTGCGAAATCGCTGTGTGATTATTATATTGGTGATATGTACTTGTATACCATATGGGGTGTCTTGTATGTAGATAACCACACTTTACGTGTACCAGAGATGGTATAGTATGGTTTGTTGGAGTGTGTGCAGCAAGTGTGTATCTTACTTCTTTACATGATGAATCTACAATGCTTTATAGCCGCTGGCAGTACTATGATGAAGTGACTATGTATGCGCATAGAAGCTGCCATAGGGCCTGAATGTGCAATGTCACAGCCAATCAGCCAGGAGACCAAGTCATAACAATGCCGAATTTTAGATCCACTTGGATCCAGTTTTTGTATGCATCCATGCCCGTTTGGGTGGTTTTCCTTCAAGGCAGGGTGACACATCTGCAGGGAGTATCGGGACTGGGTGCCCTGGCTGGGGACCTGCTCCTGGTACAGAAACAATGATGCCTGAATGCGACAAGATGGGCCTACCCACCACATCTTACACTTCGCCACCAGTAGAGTGCATCCAATTTGTCTCAGAAGTCGATATTTTTGACGTCTAACGTGATCATGTGCAAGCCCTATAACAAGTCACATCGGAACATGAACTGCAGCATCGCTAGTACGTGTAGTGTGCAGAGTGTGCTTGTGACTGGTCACGGCTGGCAGTTGCTGCTATCAGTAAAGTATACTTGAGATCTTGTGCTAAAACGTTCTCATAAATAATCATCCCTGACTTGAAAACACACTGATCCTTTGACCACGCACCACAGATCATAGTGCTGTTCTTGCATTATATGTTCCCATGTACAGGTACTGCAATGGCCAGTCTAAATCCCAAAGCTAGCGATGTTCTCTCCAGCCTGCGCTTGAAGGTGGCGTACTTTGCAGGTGAGCCAGAGAGTGAACTGGGCAGTTCGCAGTGCCCTGTTTTCTCATGCCAGTGTGGACAGTATGCCGGCTGTACCCATTGTATTCATGCTGCAAACTCCGGGGTAAAACATGCACATAAGTATCCTATTGTCTGCTCATAAAGTATAGGGCTTCTTGGAGATTCATTATACTGTACTAAAGTTGAATGAGGTCTACCAACTAACTGTCTTCTGAGCTATGTACAATATGTGTTTGAAACATGTTAATTTGGAAAGCCAAGGTTCATATTATTTTACAGAGCTCAGAAGTGACGCATGATCTCGGGCATCAACCCCCCCCCCCCCCATTGCTTGATAGAACATGTTCAGCTGCTTCTTTTCAGTGTATGAAGTGTGAAAGGGCGCATCCTGCAATTGGCATGTTGGTACTAAAATCACAGTATTATCAGTTTTGAAGAAAACTGAAAATGTGGCTATCGCTAATGAGGTGTCAGCGGTTACCAAGGCCCGTGTCCATGTTTGGATGATGCTCTGAACATCCACACATGCTTGTCTCCGTACCTACTTTAATTAACGTATATGTCTGGTTCACGTTTTTGGAAGCTTTCAGTTCCTCCCCAATACACTTGAGGTGCAGGGCGATTATTTGCCTATCTATCACTCGTTTGCTCTTCAGATATGCCAGTGTGGTGATGTGCCTAAGAATTCTATTCAGTTGTCAGCAGCCATGCTAGCCTTGGGTGGACCGGCATCCGGCCACTCAACCCATGACCACTGACAACATCTCCCACAGAGAAAGTACCGTCACCCTCATTACCGGGGTCAGAGACCTCTTAAAATGTTTGGCTCACGTTTGCAGTTTCTGCACGTAGATCTATCCACTCTGGTACCTCTTTCTTTGTCGAATTTCTAGTGTACCATTATCCCTGAGTGGTTGGAGTATTTGTTGATTTTCCTGCACTTAGGTGGTGAGTACAACGGTCGACCTATCCTATGCATTCCAGCATCAGCTTGTACAGCAGTGTTGACCATTGATGGTAGAGAGCTGAAGAGACTTTTCACGTTTCTCGTCTGGGCAGGATCGTGAGTACAACTACATGCAGTATTTTTCTACTTCAAATCAAACTTCAATGAAGATCATTTTGTGCGGACTGGGATAAGACGTAAACTGGTTTTAGGTACAATTTTTTTTAAATGGCACAGGTTTTTCCTCCACACGAGCGCCAACAGAAGACTTACTGTTACGGTAATCCCGTAAAGGGATCAGCCTCTGGGAATATGGGGGAGAAGAGAGGGGAGGGCAGGGGGCTACATGAGATATTCGTTCACAACTCCACAGTGCGTGACTGCGTGGTGGACGTATACTGTGGTACTCCTGACATCACACATTCACTGTGACTGTCATACTGAGCCTTGAGCTGTTCACCAGCCTGGATGCTTCTATGAGCCAGGGTACGAGGCTTGTGCGACTACAGACCCACTTAAAATACCCTCTAGCTTTGACAGCCTAACAGATTGTCCAACCACGACTGGTGCCATCCGCTGAAGCATTATTCCAATTTCATCGACTACAATCCGGATGTCTGCCTATACCATCTAAATGTTTCTTGAAAAACAACAAAATGTAATGTGCTTCTGCGTTTCACCTTGCATCACTCTTACCAAATTCAAGTGATCTAATCAATTTTGAAGACTCAGTATTCTTTAATAGTGTTGGGATACACCAGTATTGCAGCTTCATACCAGCATGGTATTCATACCAGCATGTGTGTGTAATTCCCACTTATCCCAACATAGGGTACTCAGTATATCAAAGATCAATGGAAAGTCGGCAAGACCCAAGGCCAGAATTAATGAGAAAAGGGGGTGGATGTACATCTAGTAAAGTGACAGGAGGCCTTGTCAATACAAGAGGCAATGTGTTTTGTGTGTTTGTATACACTCCCCTAGTACCAGCTGTAATCTAGGTGTGTCTCTTGTGACCATTGTCGCACAATATCGCAGTTTCATGATCTGCTGCTTGGCTAGTGACACTTTCACACCATGGCAGACACTCTTCTTCAACACCTACAGACAGTACAGTACAGTACAGTACAGTACAGTACAGTACAGTACAGTACAGTACAGTACAGTACAATACAGTACAGTACAGTACAGTACAGTACAGTACAGTACAGTACAGTACAGTACAGTACAGTACAGACAGTACAGTACAGTACAGTACAGTACAGTACAGTACAGTACAGTACAGTACAGTACAGTACAGTACAGTACAGTACAGTACAGTACAGTACAGACAGTACAGTACAGTACAGTACAGTACAGTACAGTACAGTACAGTACAGTACAGTACAGACAGTACAGTACAGTACAGTACAGTACAGTACAGTACAGTACAGACAGTACAGTACAGTACAGTACAGTACAGTACAGTACAGTACAGTACAGTACAGTACAGTACAGTACAGTACAGTACAGTACAGTACAGACAGTACAGTACAGTACAGTACAGTACAGTACAGTACAGTACAGTACAGACAGTACAGTACAGTACAGTACAGTACAGTACAGTACAGACAGTACAGTACAGTACAGTACAGTACAGTACAGTACAGTACAGTACAGTACAATACAGTACAGTACAGACAGTACAGTACAGTACAGACAGTACAGTACAGTACAGTACAGTACAGTACAGTACAGTACAATACAGTACAGTACAGACAGTACAGTACAGTACAGTACAGTACAGTACAGTACAGTACAGTACAGTACAGTACCATGAGTACTTCATGAGTACAGTCAAACAGAGCACAATCATGTACATAATAATATTATGTAGAAGTCTGCTATCCTGGAGTATGGGCCATGCACACTTCTTTATTCTGCCAAGTAACAGTTAGTTGTTCTTATAAGCCATACACAGCGAATCCTGTATGACTCCATACATGGAATGTCACAATAAATCACTGCTTTACATACGATATAAGGAGGCTATGTGATATGTGGATGTTAGTTGAATGTTCCTGCTATGTAAGTGCCCATCATGCGAATAGTAGAGAGAATTGTCTCTGGACTTGAATAGGGACATCACACCAGGCTGTGCGACATAAGGTGGGTAAATAAATCTTATCATGTGGTATCATAATTATCATGCATGCGTAGGTACTAGGTAGGTTTACTGGTGATGGGACCTGCTCCAACTCTTGGGGTTGCTACCTGTGATGCTGTTTGTCTGTCTGCAGCAATGGAATCGTGCAGAAGAAACAAGTGAAGTACAGCGTTGTGGCCAGCCTACGCAGTGGCGAATGGAGTCAACTACGGCGATATCTGTCAAAACTGGAGGTGAGCTAGCACCCGCTGTGTACTGGAAGTATTTGTAATTAGCCGCAAAGAAAAACATTAGAGCGTTGAAACTCGCCCACCAGGGGTACAGGTCACAAATACAGTCCCTCTTCCAGCACACTAAAATCTTCTATTCACTCTCTTCTTTCATCAATGTTAGCGTGATGATCCCGCTTCCTTCCCGCTTCCTTAGTCCCCAACGGCGGAGGCCATGTGAGACTATAACCCCGGCACTGCGACAACCAGCATGCAGCTATACCCGGAGTTCAACAGCAAGGCCTCAACACGCCTCGCAACACACTCAAGCCCCGGCCATGCGGCGTGCGCCGTGCATGCTCACACTGACTGTACATCGCGCAAAGAGCACGGGTAGTAGCGGAGCGGAACCCATTGTATTTCAGAGCTACAGTGCCTGTGCTAGTACCAATGTAGTAATGAGCGAGGCAGAGGCCAGCCATATCACTCCAGTTGCAAGCCTTCCAGGCTAGCTCCGTCGTCCTGGGTCGGCAGTGATGGTGGTGGTAACTGCACGTCGCCCATGCGGGTAGAAGCAAGGTGACTTCTTGTCCGGTGGTGTTCCCCTCCACCCTGGTGTGGATGCTGGTCCCAAGGTCTCCTCGAGATCTCCGCCGCCCCGGTGGAGCGGCACGTGCGGAGTTGGATTGGATTGGTTTGTTTAACGTCGACGTAAAAACAGGCAGTGTTGCCTTGTTACATGAGATCGAGTTCCCTGTCCAAGTGCTGGCAGAGGAACCGCATGTTGATACATTCTACAAACTCCAAGTCATCCTTGAGCTGGCGTAGGAGGAGCGCGGACAAGGCATTCGTGCCCGCAATTAGCGCATCCGTGATGTCCGACATCTACAAATAGATTGGGAGTGGAGAGCATAACTATAGGGAACGGATTTACAAAACGGGCCAACACCGTGTTGAATAAAAGCCCATCACAGCGAGGAGACCTCGCAGAACACTCATCGCTATGAGGTAGACGAATCCTGGTCACAGCATCAAGTGTGATGATCGGGCTTCCCTAGTCCCTAATAGCGGAATCCATGTGAAAACAAAGATCGACTGCGACAACTAGCATGCAACTAGGCTACAATTAGGACCCTAATGACGTAACTTGGAAGGCATTCTCTAAGAAACTATTACACCCTGATTCTTCCTGCAAAATATATGCATTTGACTGAGTCTACAACAACCTGTACTACACAACAGAACACCATGGGCAGGTATGTTACATAATCATGTACAGTACATGTGTTAGGAGTAAAACGGGGCATAGGAGGAAGTCATGAAGTCGGTATTAAACAGCATAAATGCACTGAGTCTTGGATAGCAAGCAGTATCAGCAGCAGCAACAGCAACGGCGGACGGTAGGAGAGGGAGAGGAATATCATTTTTTTGTTTAACCGAAGCATGGCCGCACTTGGGTTAAAAGTGTTATATAACATGAGATTGCATGGGCTGGATGCAATCCAGCCGTTAGGGCCCGGTCCCACATGCACTTGAGAGTTGCGGATCCGCTGCAGCGGTGTCGCAACAGCGTGTATCACCATGGAAACTGCGAGTAGCGGAACTTCCGCCGTGGCGGAAAGTTCAAATCCGCTACTCCAAATTTTTGGAGCGTATACTCTCCTGCGGAAGTTCCGCTCCTGCGACACTCCGACATAGTGAGCGATTTGTGTTGTTCGATTTTATTTTCAATCATGAAGTGGACAGTTTGACTTAAGTCAGAGCAGCTACGGCTGCAGTTGTACATGTATGTTGAAGTCAAGACTCGTTTGGCCAAGGGATGAAGAGAGATACAGAGCGATAGGTGGATAGCCGAGAAGCTGAAACCGACGGCTGTGGCGTCGGCCAAAGACCAAATCCCGGACCCGTGAGCAACCAAGCATGGCCATCATGTAAAACCACGCAAGGGGACCACTGTGATGTAGGTCTGGCAAGAGCGATACATGTACTAATATTACCAGTATCTGTAGCAGTTATCATTGGTTATCGTCGACGTGCTGCTCAACAAGTTCGTACTAGTATTCAGCAACAAAATGTCGCTGCGGTCTCCATTGCCTGTCGACAACGTCTCGCTAATCGATCTCTACCCAACGGAAAATCCATTCTTTCAGATTATACAGAACAAAGACTCAAAGTCAACAATACCGAACCCACGACGTGTAGCTAATGCTTGATACTCAACAAAAACAACGGTCTGTCCAACACCTAGTATTTACATCAACAGTACATCAGTGCTGCGTTGATGTGTCCACAAAGGACGAAACAGTTCTGTCCACAGACACAGTACTGTATACCATCAGTACAGTCAGTACGTGCACGCGTACTTCGGAGTGAAAGCATGCTTGAGTTGCATGCAGGAGAGCTGCGCTGAATTTTTCGGAAGTCAGAGAGGCGCGCTTGCTTCGTTCGCCGTGCACGCGTGAGCATGTGAGACCACGCGAGCATTTTGTTGCAGGGGAGGTGCGACACCACTCCCGCAAAACCTTGTCGCACCAGCGGATCCGCCACTGCATGTGGGACCGGGCCCTAAAGACAACAAAACCACCGATTACAGGTGCTGGTGGCTGAACTCTTGTTGTTTCTGCATGAGAAAGGAGAAACGAGCACAAAAATCATACAACATTAGAGAACAGTCACAGATCTAACTGAGCCCAGGTGCTTTTAAGTCTAGCCGACATCTTGATACAAAAGTGAACAAAACATAAGGTGCCAAACGGGAACGCGGGGAAGAAAATTCTAGCCATGCCAAACCCCGACAACCATCCTGGCTGTGAAATTCACACCTGAAATGATTGGTCAACCGTCCTCAGCCAATCAGAGTTCGGCAAGTGTTTTCTTCTTGGCTTGCTGATGACTAAACTCTTGTTCTGTCTGCACGAGGAAGGAGAAACGAGCCGGAAAATTCTACCGGAGAAAACCTAAAATGTCAGGCGTGTCTAGTCAACGTATTGAGGAGCGCCAGCAGGAAGTGGCTGATAGTGATCAAAAGGGAAGAGCAGCGATAATGAGTAGTAGTTGAAATTATATGAACACACAGTTTTGTCGTCTAGAACTGTACCTTCAATACTGTGTTATGCATAGTCATGGTTGCAGCATTAGGGTACATAACTGTTCCATGCAAATGATTACGAGCACCACGGCGTGCATGCAGGCCATATTGCAGCGGGGTCATTACATCAGTACAGTACTAGACCAGTGTGCATGCAGGGTCATTACATCAGTACAGTCAGTACCAGTGTGCATGCAGGGTCATGGCGCTCAGTACAGTCAGTACCAGTGTGCATGCAGGGTCATTACATCAGTACAGTCAGTACCAGTGTGCATGCAGGGTCATTACATCAGTACAGTCAGTACCAGTGTGCATGCAGGGTCATTACATCAGTACAGTCAGTACCAGTGTGCATGCAGGGTCATTACATCAGTACAGTCAGTACTGGTGTGCATGCAGGGTCATGGCACTCAGTGTGCATGTGAACAATCTACAGTACTATAGTCACTAAACTGCTGTATGTTCTCACTGGCAGACACCCGCGGGCATTGTATGACCACCCGATGCCTTTTATGGTAACAAAAACATCCAGATTGGAACAGTAACACAAAGAATACAGCTAGTGACCTGAATGCTTCCATCCTGTTTAAGTGCTTGCCTTAGCAGAACGTTTACCAGTTAGCATATGCTACAGGACAAATAAGGACCGCCCGAGGGTCTGTTGAGTCTATGGTGGTGTTTTGGACCGCGTACATTGCCAATAAATACTTTGAGAATGCAAACAGGTTCCTTGTGTGATGGTGTGTGTGTGTGCGTGTGCGTGCACGCGTGTATGTGTGTGCGTGCACGCGTGTATGTACGTGTGCGTGCACGCGTGTGTGTGTGTGTGTGTGCGTGTGCGTGCATGCATGCATGTGTGTGCGTGCATGCATGCATGTGTGTTGGCTTCCTGTTTCCAATACCTGTATACAGGCTGCCTTGCCACCGGCTGCCGAGTGCATCTACGTTCTTACCCCTCAGCAAAGAGTTAGTCTGACCAAGTTCAGTTACAAATCTCAGCTGACGGACTTTGCGATCAAGGTGAGAACGACTACGGCAAAAAGCTCTTTTTTTCTTTTTGATCGTGTTGCATGTTTCGAATATTTTTCATCGGCCGTTTTCCCATGATTGGCACCAATACAAACGAGTTTGATAACTTGAAGTAGGCATGGTCAGTGGCTTTGCGAGCATAGCGAGTCATAAATGCATTGTAGGCTAGATGAGTTGTTGCGCAAGAAACACACTACAAGCTGTTGCGTGGTCAAGAAGACGTGCAGCCTACTGCACTACTGCACTCCAAGTGTCTGCTGGAAACCTGGCCGTTCATTTCGACGTCTCCCTTTGCTGTGTTTGGTTGATGTCTAGGTTGTAACAGTGGGTATGAAGACGTTGCTTAGCCATGTACCAGCATCACAGCTAACAGAGGAGTATGGAGGGACTCTGATATACAACCATGCTGACTGGGTTGACCTGCTACTGGTAAGGGTAGAACTGTTTTAGGACAAGTTCAGACAATTGGAAGATGGCCATGTTGTGATGTTGGCTGCTGTCGGTGGTGTGCATGAGTATGGGTGCGAGCTGCTCTTCGCATTGCCGAAGAAGCAGAACCATTGTGTCTGAAGTGTAAATATAGTATGACTTTGCGGGTTACATTCACTGGTTTGAGGGAAAGATGGTTTCAGTGATAATTATACTCAGCAAGATATAAGATGTAAAATGGCAATAAATAAAATAAATTGTGCACTCATAACAACAGCAAAAATGAAGAAAGTCAAGTTCCATAACGTTTTCTTGTGACTGTCATCAGTGGAACGCCGTCACATTAAAATGTAATAACTAAAACACACACTTATATACATGTAGCTAATATGGTTTCAGGTAGAAATACAGCAGCTAACAAGTACAAAAAGCGAAGTTTGCACCTTTGCAATGTGTGAATATAGTGTATGTGAGAAAGGTAGTGGCAGATGAATGTGATACTGTGTGAATGAATGTAATATGAGTGCACAATTTATCTTATTTATTGCCATTTTACGACTATTGTCTCCTCGTCGATTGTTTAGATATAAGATGACTTCCACTTGGCCAGAATGACCTGTCACTGTACCCAAGCTAGCCGGCGGCTTGTAGTCATTGGACCCACACACGCAAGCCAGGAGCAATCGAGCAAACTTTACTTCCTTTTTATGTGCGTGTTTTCGTCCTCATCTCTTTTTTCAAGTTGTTTGCGTCATTTGCGTTGCCTGTGCCCCCGTTTCTCTTTGCTTGCTTGAATTACCAAGGGAACATAATATTACGCTGGTTTGTATTAGTGGATCACTATGTTGCATGGGCCAAGCGTACTCATCCGGCGGATATGTGTGAATACTAATGCTAATTACACATGCATTTATCAGTACACGCCCAGCACTATACCGGGTGGCCTGTGTGGTATTTATTGACCGCAGTGTATTGGCTGGAAAGTGCTGTGTTTCCACTATTCTATATTATTCTATGCAGCGGTATGAGAGGTCAGCAGGTCCGTGCTCGCAGGAGCTACGTGCAGTCAAGGATCTTACAGAGAAAGTCGTCTCTTCGGACATTGCAAGGGACACCGTGACGGGCATCAGTGCTGCAAAGGCGGACATGCAGGAGCGAGTCGGAGTCTGTCTGGAGATTGCGCGCAAATCCCAAGTGCCGCTGGAGAACCTTGCTGGTGATCTTCATCGCAGTCCATGCTCTTATCGTCTCTGCACATCGACTTCGTTCTTCATCGGACTGGTGTCGTGTGTGGATGAACTAGTCACAACTATGACACAGGCCATTCAAAACCTGGAGACAACGTGCCACAAGCAGGCAGAGGAGCTCGAACATGCTGCATCCACGCTAGACTACACAAACTCAATCGGAAAGGTTGGTAATGTTTCTAACATGCCAGTGCATTTATGAAGCCCCTTACGTGTAATAAGCTGTGGACTGCCTGCGGTGTATGCACTGTGTCTGTGTGGTGCATTGTAGTGGTTGACCGGACCAATCATTGCGGCAACAAACACTGAACATGTATAGGACTAACCAATCCCTTGTGCTTGGTACTGGCTAGTCCCCATATTATTAGCATTCAGTATTGGCTTTGTAAGCTGTGGTACAATTGGTTTCATGTGATTTGCCGTGCACTTTGTAATGTTTCCGGTGCCCCATCTATCTGCTGCAGTGCTCAACATCCTTGTCAGACCATCTAGCCAGATTGCATGCAAGCTGCAGTGATGTGGGAGACTCGTTCTCGGCAGCGTGCACTCTCCTGGCTGCACACCTGAAAGTTATCGAGAGTGCTCAGGTAGGGATAGGACTTGTTCGGAGATCAAAATCTGAGAGGGAAAGATATGGATATGCATCTGAATTTCAGTCCCCGTAGAACATTTCATTACCCTTTTCCAGGCATGTGGCCTTCTTGTTTGCCTTCTGCATGCACACTTCCTCTGTCCCGTTTTTTCATATTCTATATATGTGCAAGTGTCAATAGACATGTCCATATGCACACCCACTAGGGAACAGGAAATGGAACTTAGTTTCCGAGGTACTTCTTATCTCCTGTTCAAATATACTTTGCTATGTAGGGGTGATCTGTATCTCTCAAAATGCCTGTACTAAGGAAGTGTACATCTTGTCAGAGCATGTAGTGCAGGAGTTCAACTGTGTCCTTTGTGTCACTGTGTTAACGTCGCCTTGCTGTTAATAAAGTCTTACAAAATATACTTGTAACGATCTCGTCGCATTGTCCAAGTGTGGAGATAGCATGGGGCTGAGAGCCGGAATGAGAAAATCCAAACATCACTATCACTATTTTGCAATTATACTGTTCCAGGTGGACTTATTGGCAATGCAAGGGCTGCTTGACCGAAAGGCAGCTATCGCAGCACTGGATGGTGGACGACAAGCCGATGCTCTCACTACCATCTGCACCGAGTTGAACAGCGCTGGCGACAGGCTGGCGCATGACCTAGCGCGAAGACATCTGCAACTGGAGAAGGCCAAATCACTGCATTCTCTTGTACATGAGGTAAACAGTCTATCATCATGGGTTGTATTGAGCTATGCAACTATGGCAGCGTTCCACATTGCTCGGACACTGGTAAACACACTTGACATCCAGGAATAGGCAGACATGTTCAGCCTAGAATAATCATTCATATTGACAAGCCTATTGGCAGTGTTCCAGGGGTAGCTATCACCTGAGGATTTGATAACCAGTGGAATCCATGTGCATGTTCATCCATGTGCATCCTCTGCAGGCTGAACACCTGTGTGATGTGGCATATCGACTGCTAGCGACTCAGAACCTGGACGCGTGTTTGACAGAAGATGGTTCTGGTGATGCTATCAACGATGTGATGTCTCTACTAGGCCAGGTAGCCGACATCCCAATTGAGCAGATGATCACTGTAGGCAAGGAGATGCCAGCTGACTGCTCACTGGCCAAGAAGAGTGGGAAGGTGATGACGCGGCGCGATGACTTGGTCGTTCTGCTGAAAACACGATCAGACAGCCTTGGCGGGCTGCTGCTGAGTCACCAGAGTATAGTCGATGACCTGAAGGCAGTGAGTGCATTGCTTGTTCCTGTGCTGATGTGCTGGTCTGTGCATTTTCTTCGGTGCAAAATGGTCCGGGCGCCTATCATCGAGTCATTAGTGATCTGTATGTAGACTGATCCCTACATCACACTACCACACTACCATACACAGATGCAATTACAGATGCAATTACATGACTGTGCATGTACTTGTACGGTATTTGCCTGTCATGCTGTAGCAATTGGCTGAGCAAGATGCCATCAGTATGTCCAGCGAGAGTAGTTATGAGCAGCAGGGTGATAGCGGACACGGTGAGTCGGCCGTACAAACAGCTGACGAGTTCTCGCCGTCACACATTCCCGATGTCAACTGGGATCTGGACAACTCGAGTATCGTGGTAAGCCATCCCCATGTGTGTCCACAGTGGTCTGCTAGTTACTGGATACCGGTATGCCATAATATTATATTGAGACGAGTAGAGACGTCTTACAGATGCTCTTCTTCCTCAAGGATTTCGTTCTTGATGGACGAACGGAATCCTTGAGGAAGAAGAGCATCTGTCAGACGTCTCTACTCGTCTCAAGTATGTGCTGTCACGTATCAATATTATATTGATTTTCACACAATGATCTGAGACTACATTTATTTATTTTAATTTATTCTATTTATTATCAATATCTCATAGCATGTCGTTGAGACTGCCAATAATGTAGAGATACGACTGATTGCCAACCATGGCCTATAGAATGAAAAAAGAGAAGTACCTACCGTAACATGTTGGCAAAAGCCTCTCCTACAAGAGACTACCAAAGTGGATTTGAACCTTCATATATTATTTTCCTTTGTTTCGTTTCCGAACGAGAGAACTTGGAAGCTCAGGGCCCTACGCTTGATGACCTAGGCAAAAAAAGCATAGTAAATTTTTCATTTCTCCTATTTTTTTAAGACATAACCTGGGATTCGAACCCGCACCATTGCCCTGCATGTATCCCCCGATACACTTCGCATACATACTAATTCTTCCAAGTTGCTTCACGTTAGGATCTTGCATTTGAAAGCCATATTTGAATATGATGGCCAGCTGTTTGTGGCCAGCCGTCTTTGATGGTACGGTACGGTGCGGGACAGGTACGGTTGAGGGTAATACGACACCGTCTACCACCTTGATGACCTAGGCAAAAAAGCATAGGATGTTATAAATTTTTCAATCCTCCTATTTTTTCAAGGCATAACCTGGGATTTGAACCCGCACAATCGCCCTACATGCATTACCCGATACACTTCGCATTCATACTCATTCTTCCAAGTTGCTTCACGTTATGATCTTGCATTTGAAAGCCCTATTTGAATATTGTGGCCAGCTGTTTGTGGCCAGTTGTCTTTGATGGTACGGTACAGTACGGGACAGATACGGGATAGCGCCAGATGGAGGTCCGTCCGCCACAAACAAACAAATAAACACCAAATTAAAGCTGTGTGGACCCTGGCTAGCGCCAGACATTACTGAAGTAACGTCTTCTGCATACCGTATTATCTCTAATATAAGCACGGTCCTTTATTTTTTCAATGTACCTCCGCCCCGTGCTACTAATGGAGACGTTCCTTTATTGGAGACTGTTCCATTATTATTTCAACCTCATTTCAGAGGCATGTTGCCATGCCAAATTCATGTATGACGCACACATTTCAGGTTTTTTTTCGCCGGTACAGATAATGAATTTACACAGTGTGCTTATAATGGAGACTGAGCACTTTATATTTTGAATGCCGCCCCAAGGTGGTCTATTATTGGAGACGTGCTATTATTGGAGACTGTGCTTATATTAGAGATAATACGGTAGCTACGGGAATAAAACATTATTTTACATTTACAAAAGCAGTAATGAGCTAGACTGGAGCCTTATTGATAGGAATTGCACCGAGCTTCAAAAGAATGTTTGCATTAAGTGTGTTTGGCAGAGAAAGGCATTCTGGTTTTCCCAGTGCGTTTTGGTAGTGTACACGGGTGCCGTTGTGTTTTTTTTTTATCACCGTCAACAATTGTTTCCTTTCCTTGCAGAGTGCTCCGGCAGTGACAAGCAACTCTCACGATCGACATCCACTGCGCTCGAGCTCTGCCTCTACTCTTCCCTCAGCACACAGGAATAGCACATTGGGATCTGGCATTTACCGGACCTCGAGCAGCCAAGACTCACCCGTATGTATGAAACATTTCTGCTATTTGGTGTTCGACTGAATGTTTGTCCAGTAACACATGTCAAGCAGATTTGAAATCTATAAACAGCCAATGCTATTCTTGCACTGCACTTGTTTGGTTGTAAGGATAGGGAGCTACACTGTGCCAGGGCGATGTTTGCCTGTAATTGTCAACGCTTTGTATCACCTGCTGAAAATGCTCCTGTGTTCTAAGGTTCTAAATGGCTGGAGAGATGATGACATTGGAGATCTTCTGCAGGACGAAGAGACTGATTTGAGTGTGCTGGAGAAACGCAGGTAAGAGTCTAATGAGCACTTTCCTTGAGATGATGATGCAATACAATATTGTAGAGCCTATAGGAGCTTAGAGTGCAAACAGCCAACCATCCCAACGTATGAAACCAAGCAAATATCAAACGTAATTTGGCGGGTTCTGATTTGTCACTAGTTTCTCACCAGCAATCATTGATGCCAGTTTACCCGTGGACGTAAACTCATAACATTATACAGCATGGTTTTCCCAGGAGGGATTTTGAAAACACTTGTGTGTAACTTGTGTCAGCATGTGGTCGTGGCCAGTAGGTATGGAACCACTCTAAAGATTGCAGAGCGAAAGTTTCTTTTCCACCGTGCGTTCCCCGGTGCTGCAGGTGCATAGCCCGTGAGCTGATCACGACGGAGCGGGTATATATCAATGATATCCGTGACATTGTTGATGTAAGTGTGTTCTTCAAATATGATCCAACTGGAACGTGATGATGCTTCACCTAAACATCTCAAATTCTAAACTGTCTTCGCTGTGTGATCCTTCTTATCCTGGAAAGTCCTCCCTCCAGTAGAGGGAAGTGCTGTGAAGTTCACGGCTACATAAATGTTTTAAGGGACCCATCCGTAACTGTCGCCATTCATCATGACCCTAGCTCGGGCAATGTAGGGTAGGGGAGAGGGTCTTGGGAAGTCTACGTTTTGCGCGGTTGCGATAAATGGCGACAAAATCTACAGATGGCCTCTAAGGCGCTAGCATTGAGAGTGAAGAGTGTTTTAGGTTCAAATTGTTTCTCTTACCCTAAATAAATAAGGATGGTAGTGAGAATTGATTGTTGTCATTTATCTTCTCTATGCTTTCTGTGTGCTAGACATACTGGAGTGCAATGGACACAACAGCCAATCCTAAAGTTCCGCCATTCCTTGCTGGCAAGCAGTCGACAGCCTTTTGCAATCTTCCAAGAATACTGGACTTTCACGAGAAGTTAGTCTCTAGAGAACAATTCCACATCCCATACCATACCTTGCCATACCTAACCATGCTACACTTCCTTCTCAAAACTGAATATGGGCAGTCTACCAGTCTTATACAGTTATACTAGAAAGCTGTGATTAGAGGGAACTGTTGAATTTAGCAGTTGAAATCGTGTCCGCAAATTTTCCCTCACGACCATACCCAGTGATGTCCAAACTTTTGTCCAGAGCGGAACAGCCATCTTCATTGGCCACTTCTGATTAATTAAATGCCGGTTTGTGTGTGTGTGCCTGTCCTCATCACAGCTCGTTCTTGACGGAGCTAGAAGGCTGCATGGACAACCCGCTGTTACTGGGGATGAGCTTTGTCAACAACTATCGTCAGTTTCAGCTGTACATTCCGTATTGTAAGAACAAACATCGCTCCGATACACTGTTCGAGGAGTATGAAGGCAGTTTCTTTGAGGTGAGTCATCCCCTATAATTACCATCATTCCTCTACCAGGCATTATTACACGCTGCTACTGATCACCCTCCCTTCACTCCTAGTGCTGTTTCTCTGACAGAGCATCTTGTGGTAGAAATCCGTTATCCAGGGCTGCACGATGCTCGGAAAACAAGGCACCTAAAGTGGCATTCATGGCTTCAATGTGCTTTGTACATGGGAACCAACCATATCCTAATGTCACTTTTGTCAACAACTAACTACATATTCTCCATTTATAGTAATAAAAAGCCCAAACCATCATCACTAGTATGTAAAATCCTATTGCTGATGTGTCATGTGTGGTGTGCTCTCTAGGAGTTACGCATCAAGCGTGGACATCGACTGTCACTTCACGACTATCTCATCAAGCCTGTGCAGAGGATTACCAAATACCAACTGATGCTCAAGGTACAGTAGATGCACTGCACAGTGTGGCGCTGTTCTATTTCGGGTAGCTCCTGAATATCAGTGGCTGGACGTCTTGGCGGAGGATCAGTATGATGTACCCATAACTCCGTTTGTAATGTAAATTGGTATGTAGTTGGTATTTATTTGTTAGACGTTCACCTTTTCATGTCTATCAATCTTGCTCTTCACAAAATTTATGTCATTTTCAACAATTTCAAAACACTACACTCACCTTCTCCACTCCTGCAGGAAATGCTGAAGAACTGTGCGAAGGCGTACGGTGCACGCAAGACTATCCAGGTGAGCCATACAGCCTAGCCCTGCCTTTCCGTTTGGGCACTCAGCCATCAGATTTTGCATGTACTTGTAATTATATTATTAAGTTCCAGTGAAGCAACAAGTGGAGAGTAATGGTATAGTGCTGTGCCAAGCGCTTCTTTGACATGAATATGATGATAAAAAATAATTCAGACACTTCATTTGTCTTCACCTCAATTTCAAGGAGTTTTTATAGGCCACTTTGTGCGTGTCGTTGCATTTCGCCTTGGGTACCTTGGCCTGTTCGATTTCTGCCACCCATCATTGCTCACGTGTATATTATAATAAGCTGTCATGATTGCAAGCGATAACGAGTCATTCTCTCGTCTTTGCTTTGTTCAGTCTGCATTGGATACTATGCTGGAGATCCTACAGCAGGCCAATGATGTCATGCACTCGTCCGGTATCCTAGGTTACCCGGTAAGCAAACTGTGCAGAACAAGACAATGTGATCCCTTGAGGTTTGCATGAGCTTATTTGCAGAACTGCATATAGATATTATAGAGTCGAAATATGCCTTACATAGAGATAAGAATAACATCAATTCATGCACTATCCAACTGGCATACAATACCATGCAGCCATAGCATTCATGAGCTACTTTGTGTTTTCGAATATTGCAGGGTAGCTTGTTAGAGCAAGGCCACGTACTGATGCAGGACACATTCCAGGTGGTCCCGACGTCGTCCGTGAAGAAAGTCCTGCACCGCTCGGTGGCTGAGCGAGAACGCCAAGTCTTCTTCTATGAACAGGTTAGCAGCATAGTACTGAGCATACTCTGGACTACATCTGACAGCACTGCTTGAACACAACGTGATATGTACTAGTGGTAGTACTCTGGACGACAAGATTTCTCCGATTGCACTGCCTGTTTACACTGCCATGTGTGTGCAGTGTGAACGTCCTTAGTAGTAGAAGCCCTTAGGAAGCTACGGTCTCTTGACCAAAGTCAAGAATAGGGTTTCTGTAGAGCTATCTGTCCAAAAGAAATGAAAATATGCTGTCTCACCACCAGTCGCCTGTGATGTTTCAAAACACAAGTGTCACTGACCTTGGGCTACCCTTGCTTCTTGCTTTTCATTACCAACGCACATGTTATTTTCACTGAGTAAAATAAATGTTATGTTATGCTGGGTAAATGTTATGTTGAACATTTTGCTTCACTTCAGGTTCTGATCATGACCAAGCGACAGCCTCAGCGTCTAGGTCAAAGTAGGACAATTTACAACTACAAAGACCATATCAAGGTACAGTAGCCTGCTGATCCCGAAAAGTTGACCTCGCCTTCCTCGATATACAGTACACTACTTTCCAAAATCCCCACATTCTTGGCAAATCATGGCTCATCAAACTTCATGCAACCTACTCGTTGTATCTACTGCAGCTATCGGACGTAGCACTGACAGAGAGTGTTAATGGGGATCAGTGCCGCTTTCAGGTGGCCCAACACCGCGGCACCAAGTGCTTCATTCTACAAGTAAGTTGTCTGCAATTATTTTGTAGCTTTATATAATTATTTCAAATTTGGACTTCACGGAGAATTTCACAAAGTATTAGGAAATTAGAGGCCACATGCCTCGGAAAAGAGCAGTGCGAGGCATGTGACCTCTAACTTGATAACCTGCTTGAACTACTGTAGAAGTGCACATTTGTTTGCAAAAAAAGTTTGCTAGAAGTCCAATTTTGACCTCTTGTTCATTTTCTGTGAATTCGAAAAGGCTCAGTTCACACCAAGCCGGGCAGCAAGAGACATTTGCCCTGTTCACACTTTAATTGAGAACAGACTTTGGACTTGTCAAGTGACTATGGTGGTGTATGTTGTCCATGGCGGGGATTTAATCCTGCGTGTTGCATATTTGTTATCTGTGCGCTGTCAAGGCGAGGAGCCCGGAGGTGAAGAAGATCTGGGTAACACGCATCCGGCAGTCACTCGAAGAACAGCTCCGTACAATGCAGAGTAAGGATGAGTGCGTATTGTACACTAGCACATGTGCAATGCTGCTCAATAAGCCCATTGCACAATGACGTATTTTGTACCGTCAACACCGCACACAGCCAGATGGGCATGGTCGTCTGGGGGTGTTGAACAGTACATTGCTGATCCCAGTGTACTCACATGCGTTACTCATGCAATCCATATTTGGCAATGCGCAATGGCCTTATAATAATTTAATCGTGCGGTTCAAGTCTGCACCCTGCACCAGTGCAGCAGGAGTGTTCATAGGTGCCTGGGGCTACACAGTACAGTCAGACCTCGCATAACCGCACACATCCGTTTCGCACAAAAGTATCCGGATAGGCGAGGGAACCGGATAATCTAACACACATACTGTTTGTATGCATGACATATGCTGTAAATCGGTAACCAACAATTTTCGTCCGGATGGCGAGGGATCCGGATAAAAGAGGACCGGATAAGCGAGGTCTGACTGTACCCCGGTGTTACATTGACCCGTGTGATCGTGTTTCATTGACCAGTGGCACTGTACTAGTGTAGTGCACTGTGAGAGCTTAACGGCTTCATTTCACATTATCCTGATTCCTAGCTCCTTGCCAGTGTAATCTGTGTTCAACAGCACAGTGTAACGAAAGCAGGGTGAGAATTGGAGCTTTTGGGCCAAAAGATGCTACGAGTGGAAGTATCACAGTGATCGCGAAGCAGGTTTTCTACTTGCTCCAAGAGAAAAAAGAGAGAAAGGTGATGTTTGATCACAAGCATTGACTTGTATCTGGATGAATAAACATGTGTGTATGTGTACTGCTGTGTAATTCTAGATCGACAACATCATAATGAAGTTGGAGTCAGCTGGGTTACTGCCGATGCAAGTAAGATACTCTTCCATACCATTGACATTCAAACATTTTATTTTAGCTATGGTGCCCACTAAGCTAGGCCTGCAGACAATAGAAATGGTACGAAATTCTTTGTTGCCATCTTCCATAGGTCCGTCAAATAGTAAAAGGTTTTTCATTTGACCCGACGAGACCATGGTATCTTCTCTATAAAATAACATTATTCAGCTTAACTCCATCATTCAACAACTGCTTCTCCTCTGAGTTCCCCGTCATCTTTATGGATCGAAACAAGACTTGTCAGGAGTAAAACTACTTGCTTTCGTGGAGTGTGGCTGTTGAACTGTTCGTGCTGTTGTCTGCAAGCGTCGTATGGTCTCGTCAGGTCAAATGAAAAACCTATTACTAGAAATGGTACGATTGTATTGTCACTTAATGAGTTATTCATTTCAACATTCAACATGGCCGAACACGAATCGGTTGACATTGACCATTGGATAAATTAACTCTCATTCTGTTTCCTGTGGCCGTGTTTGTTTTCAACGTGCTTGCTAGATCGCTCCGGATCCGTGGTATCCAGTGAATACACCATGTCGAAACACAACACCTTGTCACAGTGAGTACCCCCCCCCCCCCCACACACACACTCGTGCACAAAAACACTCGCACACGTTCTCGTCATTCAGCATAACAAACTCTGCTTGTTTCGGAGGGGAGGGTGACAGCGTGCTGTGAGCAATATTCGTTTCAGTAACATCGTAAAAGTGTTATGGTGGTGCCTTCTGGCCAGCAAGATGTGGCATAGATAGAATCACATTAGCACTCGTCTTCACAAGTACATGACAGTACTGAATATGCAAGCCTTCATCATGCTACTACAATCTCTGTTGGAAACACAGGTGGATTTACGTGTGGGTATGTTGTCTGCTTTATTTACACCTTGCTATTCTAGTACTGTAACTCCAGATGGCAATGGTCCCGAGCCATTTGCACTGTCCCATACTCGCAAGTCACTGCCGATGGACCGCAGGCTGTCACCCAGTCCAAGTCGAGGCCGCCAATCTCGCTCCAGGAGCCAGAGCCCGTTCGCGGCGGACAAGCGCAAGGCGTCGAGTGAAAGTCCATCACGCGCTCACTTGTGCCTGCTGCCACCCATTGCCAAGGGACCGGGTCCCCGAGGCCGTGCGTCCAGTCCTAATCTGCACAACACAAGTCCAATACACCACCCTGCTGCACAGGGACGGCGCTTTCACAGTATGTGCATACCAGAAACACGCCCAGGACTGTTCAGGCAGTCACCCTGCTCTGACAAATCCAGCGGTCACTCTCGCTCTCCCAGCCCGTCGCAGCAGTGCAGCAGCGGACAAAAGATCGCCTTTGGCAGCCAGCGTTCTCTCAACCGAGGAGGCCCGAGTGAGCCACCACCACCAATACCTCCTAGACCCAATGCTATCGCTACTCTTCCTCCGCTCAGGTCAGTAATCCCACGCACACCGCCAGCAATACGCAGACGAGAGCGAACCCGCAAGACAAGCAGTGTCTGCTCCACCTCATCTTTCCACTTGAACATGATGATGGAAAGCGACGGCTCTGTCAGCGAGGGGCTCAGTGCCAAGTCCCCACCGTCGTTTCACCGTAGCTTGGACTGCATACCAACGGCAGCAGCCGCGCAAATTATGATATCACAGCCAACTCCATCGCCTCGCGTCACGACAAGCTTTGCATTTCCGACCACCAGCAAAGCAACGGCCCGCAAGATATCCCCTGTTGTGCTGTACAATCCCTGGAAGTCTACAGACGTTGAACACCAGCAGGTAACGGACACCGAACCTCCTGCATCGGCCTCCCCCGTACACTCAACAACAGCTAGAACAGTCAAACCACCGGGTTCATACACAGAGCATGACCTCTGAATGGAAATAGTACACCGAGCATGATCTCTGAATGGAATTAGTACACCCGGCATGATCTCTGAATGGAATTAGTTCGTACCATGTAAAAAGTAACAGCGGTGGTGTCAGATTAGAACATCACACCGTTATTAGCCAAGTGAAAGTAGCAGATGAATTGCCGTATATTAGTCAGCCACATAAGACACGATAGGGAGATAAACTAACTGTGTACATATTCTTGAGCACTGCTCTATATTTTGACCGCAGAATAATTATATAAACAATGCAAATATCAGATAGAAAATAGGGACTCATGACATACATACTTACGGCTTTCTTTATAATCTACATACGTATGATGGTAATATTATTATGTTTGGAAGGCTTTGAACGAGACTTGTACTTGCTACTTGCCAGTCGGCAAGAGCACGATCTTGATTGATTCTGAACTCTTGTTCACAAGGTCTATTCCTTTTACCACATCTGTCAGAGGCAGTTGATGGGATATGATTCTCTGAAACAAAATTGTACACCAAAATCCCCTGTGAGTATTGTGATTCTGTGATAACTGTAGCAGGAGATTTATTGCGATTTTGTTGAATTTAGCGTGAATATTTTTAGAGGGCCTTCTTCCGATTCAGCTAAATTCAGCGCTAGCACTATTGTGCGTAATTTCAGGGCTGTGTTTTATCAGCGCTACATTCAGTGGCAATTTAGTGCTTTTGCTAGTGCTGAAAATCCAACAGTCAGATTTAGCGCGGAAAATAGCACTAAATTTCAGTAGTTGAAATGCTCGACCAGAAAAAACTTACGGTTCGCGTGAAACTCGGCTGGAGGCCAAGTTTTCCGCATCACCAACACCACCGACCCTAAGGATCAAGGCGCAGAATGGGATGTTCGGTCTTTGACCACTTTGGTGGGTCTTCTGATCTACTCACCTCCCACCGCTTTAGGAATTGTATCTGCGCGCGCCTTGATCCTTGAGGGCAGAGAACCAGCACTTAATAGTCTGAAGGCCTTGACGCCTTTTGAAATCCGAGTCCCTACTACATGCATGCCTAAAAGTGACAACACTATGGCACACTATGGCACACTATGGCACAGTAGAGAGCTGCTGCAGATGGAAAACAGACATTTCTACCAGGCGAAGGAAATAACACTTTTCTTCTAGTGCTCCCGTAATTACTACTATTACAGCTAGTCAGCTGTCTGATGATCGCGTCGCCCACATTGCGCGCGCATGAATCTGCACATGTAGATATTCCAGTGTGCTTTGTTACCCTCAAAAGCAGATAGCTGTACAGTAAGACACAGGAGCTAGAAGCCAATGCAAACCCTAACACCAGGACTCTGGAGGCAGCAACACTACTACCACATGTACAGTTCTGTTCTGGACAGAGAAATCCGACCAAATGAATAGAGTAGCGCCTTGTTTGAATGCCGCCTTGTTTGAATGCCGCCTTGTTCTAATGCCGCCTTGTTTGAATGCCGCCTTGTTTGAATGCCGCCTTGTTTGAATGCCGCCTTGTTTGAATGCCGCCTTGTTTGAATGCCGCCTTGTTTGAATCCCGCCTTGTTTGAATGCTGCCTTGTTTGAATGCCCAGAACAGTGTGTGCAATGCTAGGGCTGCGTAGTGCCCGGTACTGCTTTATTCATGGGGTTGGATTTCTCTGCCCAGTACCGTAGCTGTCGGGAATTTACTCCTGCCAGCCTATGCTACAAGTATGATGTGTGTAGGCTGTCAAATACTTCAACGTAGGAGCAACAGCAGTCTGATAATCGTTTCTGCACAGCACGAGAACTAGAACATTTTTCCATTACTCCCCAGCAAACACTTACATCCATGGGAAGCTGTTTCTTCTCCAGCATCGAGATGGCTTTCGGGTATGTTCCAGGACCTAAAAAGAAAGAACAAAAGAAAGAGACGTCCCAATGTGTACGGCAGTACGGTTGTGTTCCTGTTCCTAATGTTCATACTGCCAACGCCACCACAGCAGCCCATTGCACCCCACGTCGTGAGTTCCTCGAGCTCGCCCCGCATATGGGGCGTCGTTAATAGTCACTCCGGTTAGTTCACACACGCATGGCTTCTGACTCATACAGGTATGCATCCATGCGCTCACACACACACACACACATACACACTCACTCACACATACACACTCACTCACACATACACACACACACACACATACACACACACGCACACGCACACACATACACACACTCACTCACCATGTACCATGTATACGCCCGTCGCAAGAGAAGCACGCAAATCTGCAAATGCACTGGATGTGCACCCACAGATTTTCTCTATAGCAACGATAGCGGATCTGATTCTGATTGAAACAGATCAAGAAGACAAGCGCCAGATAACTGTCTAATCCACACAACTGGTGAAGCCATGTGAATCGACCCCCCAATGCACACCTGGTCTACACCACATGGAGTACATCGGAATAGGACGGCCAAGACAGATACCTATGCACACCCTACACTTGCTGGGGTAACCAGTATAGACAGCACGCTGCTTTGATCAAAGCAGATACTAGATGCACTGGTACCTTGAAGTGGAATTGGAGTTATTTTACCAACCAGCCTCGGCAACTGGGTACTGGGAACCCAGGGCCAACAGACGTACCAACAACCTCAGCCATGAAAGCTATATTATAGTAACGACACACTGGATTGTGGAGCCGAAACTAGAACAACAAACACACTCACACAATCACACACACACACACACGCACGTGCACGCGCGCGCGCATACACACACACACACACACACACACACACACATACACACACACACACACACGCGCACACCCACCCACACAACATATAGAAGAAAAGCGTATACAGGTATAAAAAGATTAAAAACTCACCGAGGTGCCCGCCGTGGATATTCAGCTCTATAGAGTCAAGAAAGATACAGAGAGTGTTGTACCAGCACATGAAAGAACATAATATATTACTCATACATGGAAACAGGCCTACTTGTAACAGTACACACTCGTGAACGCCACATGTACACTCGTGCAAGGTCCGTGCACACGCACAAGCACAGCAGATACACAGACATAGAAAAGTAGAAACAGAAATTACAGAATATCTATTATCCATGCAACCAGCGTTTTCATTTTCAACTTGCTGTGTCAGTGTGAAACACAAAAATTAATACCAATATGATCTATTCATCGGTGCGCAGAAGCGTGAAAGCAGGAAAATATCAGGCAGAACATTGGAACCTTATTCACATCGAAAAGTTTCAGAAAAAAATGTTTGTCAGAAGTGGGATTCGAACCCACGCCCACATACGTGGACCAGAAGGCTCCAATCCGCATTGACTGCAGAAGGTACAAGACCTTGAGTCTGGCGCCTTAGACCGCTCGGCCATCCTGACAACTCAAAAGGTTTGATCAGTAACAGGTTGAATATCCTGACAAGTTGCCAAGGAAAACCAGAAACTGGCTACTTTTTGTTGTACACTCATACCTCGGTTATCCGGACCCCGAAGTTACGGGCACTTCGGTCTACCGGGCACTATTTGGGCGAG